AAAATTGAGCCAAGCACAGTGGCTCATGCCTATAATCCCAGCACTTTGGGAGGCCAAGGCAGGTGGATCACAAGGTCAAGAGTTCGAGACCATCCTGATCAACATGGTGAAACCCCATCTCTACTAAAAATACAAACAATTAGCCGGGCATGGTGGCACATGCCTGTAATCCCAGCTACACGGGTGACTGAGGCAGGAAAATCATTTGAACCTGGGAGGCGGAGGTTGCAGTGAGTCGAGATCGTGCCATTGCACTCCAGCCTGGGAAACAAGAGTAAAACTCTATCTCAAAAATAAATAAATTTAATTAATTAATTTTCAAAATTGAGTTTGTAATAGTTTTCCGTGTGTGTGTGTGTGTGTGTGTGTGTGAATATGTTTGGAATTCTGCCACGTGAAATGCTCCCATCCATTAGAAGACACATACTGATTTCAGAAATGTTCACATGTGGATAAAATGTGCGTAAAGTATGTGTGTCTCTGGATTCACTTTTCTCCATTCCCCACCATCCTGGCCCTAATCACATTCTCCTGTGGAAGAGCTCAGAACACCCTTCCCATTCAACAAGTTTATCCTGATGGTTCTCGAATGCCTCTGATAGTTCTTATTACATTTGGCCTTGCCTAGAGCAGAATTTGGCAGACTGTCTGTCACCTGGGGAGAGGGGGAAGGGCGCCAGGGTGATGCCTGATGTCATTCATGTTCTTCCCCCTTCCAGGTTCAGAGATGGATGGCTCCCTGAAGGTTGGGTAGGGCCATGTGACTAATTCTGGCTGAGGAACTGTGAGTAGAAGTGCACTGTCACTTCCAGGCTGGGGCCTTTAACATTCAGGAACATTCAGGCCACCAAGCCAAAGCTCTGTTTCACTTTTAGCCTGGTGGCCTGAATGTTCACGACGGTGACTGCTCTAGTTTTCTTTGGTGACTGGTTAACCTGTGATGGACATACAGCCTAAGTGAGAAATGAATGCTGGTTGTCATCAGCCCCTGAGACTTTTGGTACTATTTGTTACCGCAGCATACTCTAGCTGAAACTGACTGATAGAGGTGGCCCCAAAGCAAGACCATGATTCACACAATGTGTAAGTTTAACCTTCCCAGTCTCTGTCCAGTCTTTAAAGAGGATGTCTTAGGTTGGTTCTGAGGTATCTTTAACACCTTCCAACCCTTGTTAATCTCCCCCTTTACCTTAGGCCTTGGGCTCTAAGCCTTCAACGGGCAATAAAATCTAGGCAGAATTTTGTGGCATTATTTAGTTTTCTCCTTTATTTATTGATGTAACCAGCAATGGATGGCACTGACTCCACACTCACCTCCCTGCTAAGCATCTGGTGGATATCAGTGCATTTATTCTTAATCTTCATAGCTACCCATAGCTACTTCACCCATAGCTGCTTCTTGTGGGTGCTATTTTCATCCCCATTTCCCGGAAGGGGGACACCAGACCCAGAAAAGTGAAATCACCTGCTTCGGATTACTTGTATGCTGCCTTCAATTTAAGGCAAAGAGAAGATGAATTTTCCGGCCAGGCACAGTGGCTCATGCCTGTAATCCCAGCACTTTGGGAGGCCAAGGAGGGTAGATCACAAGGCCAGGAGTTCAAGACCAGCCTGGCCGATATAGTGAAACCCCATCTCTATTAAAAATTAGCCAGGCATGGTGCACATGCCTGTAGTCCCAGCTACTAGGGAGGCTGAGGCAGGAGAATCGCTTGAACCCGGGAGGTGGAGGTTGCAGTGAGCCAAGATAGTGCCACTGCACTCTAGCCTGGGCAATAGAGTAAGACTCCATCTCAAAAAAAAAAAAAAGATAAAAGAAGAAGAAGATGAATTTTCCATTTGTGATAGTGCTATACAAAATAAAGTTCATTGTTTTTAAAAAGCTAATCCTGAGTTGGGCATGGTGGCACACACCTGCGATCCTAAGCACTTTGGGAGGTCAAGTCGGGTGAATTGCTTAAGCCCAGGAGTTTGAGACCAGCCTGGGAAACATGGCAGAGGTCAAGTTGGGTGAACTGCTTGAGCCCAGGAGTTTGAGACCAGCCTGGGAAACATGGCAGAGGTCAAGTTGGGTGAACTGCTTGAGCCCAGGAGTTTGAGACCAGCCTGGGAAACACAGCAAAACCCATCGCTGCAAAAAATGCAAAAATTAGCTGGATGTATCATTGAGCATCTTGTAGGCCCAGCTACTCAGGAGGCTGAGGCAGGAGGATAGATTAAGCCCAGGCCATTAAGGCTGCAGTGAGCTATGATCGCGCCACTCTACTCCAGCCTGGGTGACAGAGTGAGACCCTGTCTCAAATAATAAAAACAAAAAAGTTACTCCTTTGAAGGAAAAAATTAGGTAAGTAGCAGTATGAGGTATATTTGAATAAAGCAAAAATTGGGACGGTAGTACTCTAAAGCACCAAGATGGGCAAACCCTGTTTCAGGGTCCCTCGTGCTCCGTGTAAGTTTCCCCACCAGAGACTGAGTAAATTTGTTTGACTCATCGCTGCTGTTCATCCTGACATTTATGAAAGGCTCTTCAAGTTTTCTGGGGTGAATGAATGAAGGAATGATTATGAGGCACTCTGAGGTTGCAGGAGACTGCAAAAGGTGGATTGTCTCATTTGTCTCCTGTTTTCCACACACCTGCCCTTCCCCAAAATTTCGGGAGCCCACTGGGTGATCACCTGTGCCAGAATCTGGTGCTCCATGCAGAAGATCCTCCTTGGGTCCCTGCTGCCCCAGCAACCTGGGCTGTCAGGCGAGGCTGGGCTAAGGGTGGGGCCAGAAGTCAGGCAAAAGAATGTGCACTACTCCTGGCCAGCTGCCAAGGAGATATCTGGAAGGAGGTGGTTACTATGGCAACTGGGGCATCTTGGGAGGTGAAGAGAGGTGATAGGTCCCAGCACCTCAGGCTGGGTGGGGTCCCCTGTGGGGTCCTGTGTGAGATGCAGGTTTCAATCTTGACCCCCTCTGCTCCTTTTGCACCTCCTGCTATTGCCCCTGCAGGACTGGTTTCTGGCCAAGCTGAGGGTCCATTTCAGGCATAGGGACCCGGCCCCACCTGTGCTCCTGCATCCCTCTCTGTTCACCCCTAATTCTCCCTCCTATTCTCTGCAGGGTGGAGGGAGACGATCTCCCCTCTTACCCCCCTCACTCCCCAACAATTCATTCATTAGTTTCCTTAAGCAGTTTGTAATGCACAACATGCTTTTCCTCCCCCGGGATTTCCCTGAGACCTGCGGTCCCCTCTCATGCTGCGACTGGGAAAGGGGGAGGCAGAAGAGGTGGGGTTGAAGAGTCTGTCCTCCCACCTCTACCCGTCTCTGCCATCGATCCTGCTAACCACCACCTCTGCAAAAAGAAGCCCTGGGCTCCTGCCAGGCCTGCTGCCTCAGCCCTGCCCCCTCTCCCTAGGGTAGCTTCCAGCCTCTGCAGCCCCCCCCACCCCCCGCCCTGCTTCGGATTCTGCAGATATGGCTCAGTGCAGCAGCCCCCGCCTGCTGGGAAGCGCAGAAGGGAGGGAGCCATAAGTGGGATTGGGGTTCCCTTCACTGCCAGGGGCTTCTCAGCACTTTGATCCATCCCCTGGCCCTGCCCTCAGTGTTAGAGACCCTGGCTGGGCACCCGCTCTTTCTTGAAGCAGTCTGTGCCTTGCTTCTCTGCAGAAGCAAGCTGAGCAATGGGGGTTATTAGGGGTAGACGGTGGAAGCGGGTGTTTAAGCGGGTGCATAACTGGGTTAATGGGTGTGGAATGGAAGTCAGTGTGCGGCTGTATGGGGGCAGTAGGGGCAGCTATGTGCACACCAAGTGCACCTCTGGGATTAGAACCCACCCCTGCTGTGGGCTGGGAAGGAAGGTCCCATCACCCATTTCCACCCATGGGGGTTCACTGCAGTGGTTTGGGCCCCACCCCACACTGACTGCTCCCTTCTTCTCTTTCTATTGCACTCTCCCCATGGGTCCGTCTCTGCTTCTCTCTCCACAGCGATCTCAATCCCACTATCTCCCAGCCTCTCATTTTCTCTCTCTGTGTCTGTCTATGGCTCCCTGCCTTTCCCTTCCACTGAGAATCTCTCTGAGTCCCTCTATTTTTCTTCCTGGGTCTTTGTGTCTGTGACTCTGGATCTTCTGCCTTTCTTGGTCTCTGTCTCTTCCAGGTTCCCTCTGTCTCTTGACTATCCCTTCTCTGTCTCTTCCCTCAGCTCTCACTCCTTTCCTCTGAACCTGGCTCTTTCAGGAAACATATACCCCAGGAGACAGCACTGGAAAGAAGAGGGACATGGACCTCCTCCCCTTCTCTTGCCCACCCCAGGGACCCTGAAATCTTCCAGAGCGTGTCTGGCCGCAGACCCACCCGCTCCCACCCTGCAAGCCCATCTCTTCCCGTCTGCTACCACCACGGTGCCGGACCAGCCACCCGGTTGCCATAGCGACCTGTCCGAGCATCCCTTCTCCCGGGACTGCCAATCTCCAACCTCAGGTCTCGCACAGGTCGCCCGCCGGGGAGAGGGTATCCCAGAGACCCAGAGGGGCGAGCAGGGGGGTGCAGGACAGGGGCCTCCGCCCGCAGGAGGAGCGGACCTCCCCCTCCTCACTCCCCTGCCTTACCATTGCTGGAATTTCCCAACACCCTCTCTCCTAGGCTTTCAGATCACAGAGCCCCCCTACAACCCCCTCCCCAGACGACGCTCACCCTTTGTGGGGGTCTGGGTCGGGGTCGCCATGCTCGGATGGAGCAGGGGGCTTCTGGATGCTTTGGCGGCGAAGGCGCGCTGCAGCAGCTGGAAGCAGGACGGACCGATGTGGAGGGGAGCTGGGGGGAGCCCTGGCGTGGGGGGGTGCCTGTAGCCAATGGGGGCCCGGGGAGCCCGCCCCCGTGCAGGCCACCCCCGCCCCCGCCCCCGCCCACCACTGTCGTCCCCGCCCCTTCCTCTAGGGTGGGGCGCCCCCTGCTGGGGTCCAGAAGCGCTGGATTTTCGCGCTGAGGGACGGAAACCGACTAAACGCTGTCGAGAGGAATGCACGTTTTATTGGAAATCTGGGAGGCAGGGGGAGTCTGCGGGGTAGGGCTGGGGAAGGGGCGGCGGAGGGAGCGGTGGGCGCGCAGGTGGAGCGTGGGAGACCTCAGGTGCCAGGGGAGTCCTGTGGGGGTGAAAAGGATGAGAGGCGAGGGGGTACGTCCAGCCCCCCCCCTCGCCGCCCTCCCACCCTGGCACTTGGCCCCCTCCCTGTTCCGCCCTTTCTTCCTCCCCCCTTCCCTCCTCCCGCCGTGTCAGACCTGCAGCACTCGGCAGGGTTCCATCGTGCCAGGTGTTTCTACCGCCTGCGGGTGGACAGACCTGGGGGGAACACGGAGGTCGGGGGACAGTTAAGAGGGGGATCCCCAGCTTCTGGGCAGGAGGGGCCCACGGCGGGGCAACTCCCTGCCCTCCACTTTCAGATCCAGTCCCTCCCTCTGCGCAACCCGGGAGGGCCAGGAAAAGGGGTCCTTGGAACCAGCCCCCTCCCCCCAAAACCGGTCTCCCCAAACTCACGGCGGATGGAGCTGCGGAAAGTTCCCTCCTCTTCATCGGGTTCCCCAGTCCTGGGAAGACAGAAGCAGAGAGATTTCGGGATGGAAACGGGGAGAGGCTGCCCTTCTAGGAACCAGCCCCCAAGTACAAGCCTCCTTTTCAGACTGGTGTAAGGAGGCCCAGATATGGACGAGAAGCAGGCTCGGGGTCCGCCAGAAGTGAGGAGCACCCAGGAGCAGCTTAAGTGCCTGGCAGGAGGCTTCCAAGCTGGTTAACAGTGAGTACCTCTGCGGATTTGGAGGCGGGGATACGAAGTTGGTAGGGGAGGGATGGTCAAGGGGATTTGGCAGACTGCCACGTGATGGCCTGGGTTGGAAACCCAGAACCCATCTTCCACTTGAGTGATCTTGAGCAAAGTGACTTTACCTCCCTGTGCCTCAGTTTCCTCATCTGTAAAACGGAGTTAATAACCTCACCTCCCTCCCAGAGGAAGTGAAACCGTATCTGACACGTGGTACAACACCCAATAAATATTGGCTACTACTTATGATAATATCTATAATTGTCTAACATATTCAAACATTGTCCATGCTTTAACATTTTATTTGAAGATGAATCAAAGAGCTAGGAACAGGACTACAAGCTAAACTGAGCCGCGTGTGAGATGATCTCATTTCACCGCCGTTCCTTCTTTCCTGCACTTCGTGTTATCACGATTTGTGATTTTTCTATCTGTGGGCTGTTGGAACCCATGGCCACCGCCTCCATTATCCTGGGAGCTCGGCCAGGAAGGGCGGGAGGTTTTTTTCCTCGCTTGGGCCCATGGCTCGGCTTGGGCCAGGGCACATAGTAGGTGCTTAAAACATAGTCGCTGATGGGGATCGGGCTGCGGGGCAGGGGGACTTCCCGCCTCACCCGCGGGGCCCTCCAGAGCGGGAGAGGGCTAGGGATGGCCAGGTGGAGCTTCTTACCTCTGCTGCTGGTTGAACTTGCACCGGCATTTTCTGCCTGTGAGGGTGGAGAGGTAGGAGAGACTGAGGCTCCCTTCCGGCGGGCGCCACGCGGCGCTGTTGCTCCAGCTAGGCTTCGCGAGGGGCGGGGCTTAGGGGACGGGGCGGGGCTAGAGGCGGGACCGGGGTCTGGGGCCGGGGAGCCGAGGCAGGGTGGGCGGGGCAAGGCCGGGGAGGGGCCGGAGCGGGGAGAGGCGGGGCCCGGGACAGGCGGGGTAGAGGGTGGGGCCCGGAGCTAGGGCACTCACTGAGCACAATGAGGATACCCAGGATGAAGAGGATCCCTGCGATGATGAGGCCTCCGATCCGCAGGGACCGGTAGTCTGTGGGAGGCAGAGAAGAGGAAGGTGAGGGCAGGGAGGAGAGGAGGTAGAATAGGAAAGGGGCACAATGGGGAGGAGGGGACAGGGAGAAAGGATCAGCAGGGAGGAGGGGAGAAATAAGATCAATTAAGGGGGAGCAGACATGGGAGGAGGAAAGTGGGTGACGAGGGAGAGGAGAGGGGTGTATAGGATGTATAGGAAAAGGAGGGAGGGGGTAGGGAGGAGGGGAACAGCGGGAGAGAAGATGGGAAGAAGCAGAGGACGGACCACGAGATGCTGATAGAGACCCAGGCAAAAGGAAGAGAACGCGGAGGCGGCTCACCTAGCCACTCAGAGAGACACAGACGGGGGAGATGTAGACAGAATCAGAGACGAAGTACAAGACAACGGGAAGGAGAAGGACAGAGATATCAACACTGGGACTCTGGGGACGGGAGACAAGGAATTGAAGGACCAGCAAAGCCAGGCTGTACCCCGAGACTCTCAAAGATAGACCCCTCTCACCGTAGGTGAACGGGTCGTGTTCCTTTGGACTTTCTGGAAAGAGAGAAATCAGGGGTTGAATGCTTCCTGGGGTCCTGGACAGGGAGGGGCATAAGGAAACCATTTGGGTGCTCTGCCTTGCTGGGCTGAGAGTATAAGGGTGTCTAGGCACTCTGCCCACCCTCTCTGGGCTGCCTTGGCAGTCCCAGCTGCCCTCTCTGCATTGTTCTGGATGGGGCAGGGGTCATCTTACTGCTCCAGCTCCCTGACTCACAGCAGGCTGTCTGTGACCCAGTTATCCCACCAGAGATTCAGCCCCATGCCACCCAACCTTTACCTGATCTGGGGCTTCCTCTCCCCTCCCCCAAATCACAGCCTGTGACTGAAACCCCAAACTTCTTGGTACCCAGCTTACTCAGTCTAGGTTGGGGTCTCCAGCTTGGTTCTTTCTTGGGGTTTGATCCCCCGCCACCACCCCTGGGGCTGAGGTGGGTGGCAGACAGCCTCCCTTACACTTACCTGCTTTGGCCATGGTGAGGAGACCCACACAGAAAACCAAGATGTGGCCAAGAGACACCATTATCCTGGGGGAGACACCACCGGTCAGGCAGTGTGTGCCCTGGTTCCCCAACATAGGGCCTGAACCCAAGGGATTAAGTCGAGATAGTCCAGGGACTGAATCAGAAGTGTTTGTTCTCTTGCTTGGTGGCTTCAAGGAACAGGGGTATCCCAAGCTTCATGGGGACACAGTGTCAACAAAATAACCTCCATGATGGGGTCACACAACAACACAACGTAGAGGGACAGGGGTGAGACACATAGTCCCCAGGGTCCTCCCTTGGGCCTCCACCTCCCGCAGCAGGCCCCCAGTTCCCAGACCTACCCTGGCAGGGGGAGAGGAGGAGCCGGCTCACACAGACACGGAGCAGGAGACAGCGGGGCACGCCCAAGTCCCACCTGCTTACACACTCGGCCTCACTGCACCCCTCGAAATCCCAGCACCCTGCCCTCTCCGCCCGCCCGCTCCCGGCCTGACCCCGGGTATAAATATCTCCCACTTCACCCTGGAGGAATTCGGCTCGCTCAAGCCACCATGGCAACAGCCGGACTTCCCCCACTCGGGGGGTCATGCACAGCCCTGCCGGGGTAAGGCCCGGCTGCCACATCGACACAGGCTGCCCTTGTGGGAAAGGCCACCCCATCTCCTCCCTGGGCAGCAAAGAGAAAAGGAAAAGACGGCCTCTCTGCCCGCCTCTGGGTGACATCTTTCACAATCGGATGTCAGGCAAGTGACATGAGGCCCAGGCGAGTGGGCCTGAGAGACAGAAGACACATGCCGGAGCAGGGCTGCACACATCACACACACACACACACGCACTGGGGCCGGAATGGACGTGAGACAACAACCTCTCCCCAAACTTCTGGTTGGAGCAAGACCTGGGGTGTAAACACCGTCAGTCTTCCAGTCCTCCTCCTCTGGGCCCCTGGTGCCCCCAAACAGTGACGCAACCAGCCCTGCACACGTGCGTGTCCAGACTACACACCCTGCCAGGGTACACGTACACCAGTGGGGCAGGGAGGAGTTGCCCACACTCCCACCCTGTAGAACCCAATGCCCCAAACACACTCCCTCCCTCTTGGGTTGGCCTGCCTGGGAAGCCTCGGGCTGGCCACTCCTGCTCCCAAAATAGGCAACCCAGCCAGGCCAGGGGTGAGGCCTGGAGGGGAGGAGTGGGGGACGCTCACCCCAATCAGGCTGTCCCCTGCTGAAAGAAGGCCCCTAAAAGTCCTGCTGTGCCCTGGGGGCTGAGCACTTTGGACCCCCTGGCCCAGTGCTGGACGCACCGCCCCCAGCAGGCTCCCCTCCCAGCCCCACCCCACCCTTGCCCTCCCCAACCAGCAGCTGTAACTGGAGCTGGGGCTGGAGGGGGGCCAGGGGGCGGCCCCCAGCCCAGACCGCCCTGGCCTGCTAGGTTAACTCTCTCAGCTCAGATGGAGGAGCAGCCGGCAGCCGGCAGGCAGGCTGGAGAGGCCAGGAGGATTGTGAAGGACAGGGTTGTGAACACACACACACACGCCTTTGAGAGCTTCTCTGCTAAGGCGGCTGCCCCCTGGGAATTGGGCCCAGCCAGGGCCTAAGGTCACCCAGCCTGACTGCCCAGGAGCCCACTGACCTCCGACCCCAGTGCTCCAAGGGGTCCTTAATAGGGCTGTTTTATCGGGTGGGAGGGTGTGTGTGTGTGTGTGTGTGCGCGTGTGTGTGTGTGTGTTCCTGCGTGCATGCATGCTATCTGCTGCGGTGACATCCCCAGCAATGCACACCACACACACACATGCACACACACACACACACACACACACACACAGAATCCCAGAGACCCAGATACACAGGCACAAAACCAGGCAAAACCACATATGTATGTACATCCACAGAGGCAGACACACACAGAATGACACACCAATAGAGAAACCCAAAGATCCGGACACAGCCAGCACCTCTTCTGCCAGTCACAAAATACCGAAACAAGCAGGTTTATGTCTACACAGACCCACGCACACTCATGCAGATGGATGGCCATACAGAGACACTGTCAAAGCACAGCCACGCCACCATCCACACTCACAAAGTGGCCTTAAAGATGCACCTCGCTATGGAGACCCACCCACAAATGGCCACACAGAAACACACAAATATGCGCACATTGCACATAAATGCAGTCAAAGACACTAATGTGCCGGGGTGTGGTGGCTCACACCTGTACTCCCAGCACTTTGGGAGGCCAAGGCAGGTGGATTTCTTGAGGCCAGGAGTTTAACACCAGCCTGGCCAACCTGGTAAAAACTCATCTCTACTAAATATATATATATACAAAAATTAGCCGGGCATGGTGGCATGTGCCTGTAATCACAGCCGCCCTGGAGGCTGAGGCAGGAGAATCACTTGAGCCCAGGAGTCGGAGGTTGCAGTGAGCTGAGATCACACCACTGCACTCCAGCCTGGACGACAGAGCAAGACTCTGTCTCGAAAACTAAGACAAAGGAATGACAAAAAAAAAAAAAACCCAAAGGTATAGACATGCAGCCAGCATGCCTACGCAGCCCCAAAGATAGCAGGCCACAAGCTGTGTACACACAGACAGATTTCCATAGACACAGACACAGACACACAAGCAGAAACACAGGACAAGCTGCCGCTCTCACACATACCCACAAAAGCAGAAACACACACTTGTTCACACCCTGTGCTTGGGTGAACGGGCACATGGCTGGCCACAGTGACAGACATGCGGGCTGATGCATTTGTATGTTCACACGTTCCAAAACTACAGATATGTATTTGACCCCATGCTTTCCTTTCCCTGAGCTCTTGTCAGGGACAGCACAGCTGGCGTCCCTATGGGCAGGCCAGGTTTATAGGTCCTTGTGACAGAGACCTGGAATCAGGCCTGGGCACTGCACTCCTGGTTATGTGAACATGAGCAGCCCTGTGACCTGTGCTTCATTTTCTCATGCTCCAAAATGGAAAAATCACTAAGGTCACATGTGTAATCCTGGGCAGTGTTCAGAGGTCTCTGAACTTGACATTGTCTTATCATTAACTCCATTTTTGTTTGTTTGCTTGAGACAGGGTCTTGCTGTCACCCAGGCTGAAGTGCAATGGCACGATTCTTAGCTCACTGTAGCCTCAAACTCCCTGGCTCAAGTGATTCTCCCACCTCAGCTTCCCGAGTAGCTGAGACTACAAGGGTTCCACACCGTGCCTGGCTAATTTTTTTTATTTTTTGTACAGTCGGGGTTTCACTATGTTGCCCAGGCTGGTCTTGAACTCGTGGCCTCAATCCATCCTCCCACTTCAGCCTGCCAAAGTGCTGGGATTATAGACGTGAGCCACCATGCCTGACCCATTATTATTGTCCTTGTCATCCTCCTTGTGAACTGGAGTGAGGAGGCTGCTGGGCTGGGCATGCTATGAGAATAGGTTCAGACCCCTCTGTGTCCCTGGCACTCAGCTCTCCAACTTCACTTTCAGGGACCCTGTTTATCATACCCGATAGTCAGCGGAGGAAGCCAAGAGCTGAAAGGTATGGCTCAAACCACAAGTTGCTGGGGTCTCCTCCTCTAGGACCTGGATCCCGAGCCCACCCAAAAGCCTGCCAACCACTGTGGGATGCCCACCTGTGCTGAACCCCAAAAGGATGAGGTGCCTCCATCACCTGAGTCCTCTCCACAGCTGGGAAGTGGGTGCCACGATTGCCCCCATTTGACAGATGGGAAAACTGAGGCCGCACAGGACTGGGCCTGGAACCCAGATCTGTGTGACCACTGAGCTAGTGCTGTTAAGCCTCCTTATCCTCCAACAAGGCTTTGGGCATGGGCACCAGTGTCCAGCAAGGCTGCCTACATTCCTCAATCACACGGCGAGTCTTGTCCCCAGGTGATAGGTGGTGCAGCCTAGGGGTTAGGTTTAGAGCTGACGAGAGCCTGGAAACAAATCCCATAACTTCCCTGTGCCTCAGTTTCCACATCTGTAAAGCAGGGAGAGCAGTACTGCCCATCTCACAGGGTGGCTGTGAAGACCGAGTGAGTAGATTGCCACCTAGTCCCAGCTGAATAAACATTACTATTATTTCGCGTTGGCTAACAAGTGTCATTTGCTTATTTTTCTTATTTAGTGGACAGAATCTATCCAAATGACTAAAAATTAGTCCAGATTAAAACAACCAATTATCCATCTATCCATGAACTCTGATCTCCAAAGAAAGAATGCAAAATAACCTGGAGCGGCCCTGGAGCTGATGCCTGGGTTTGAATCCTGGCTGTGCCCCCAGCTGGGTAGCCTCAAGTTCAGGTTCTTTGACCTCTGTCTCCACTTCCTCCTGCTTTATAGTGGTGATGATAACAGCACCAACCTCAGAGGGCTGCAGCAAGATCAGAATGAGTTAATACGTGAGTTTTTAGGACAAGGCCAGGAGCAGAGTAGACGCTGAAGAAGGGGTGGCGTGATCATCATCTTCACCATCATCATCTTCTTCTTCATCATCACTGTCATCATCATTATCATGTCCTTGGGTTGGCGCCGCCCCCCAGTGGGTGTTGAGCACTCGAGGGTTAATTTCAGGGTAGAACAGGGAAGCTATGGGCTTGGCGCCGGGCAGAGGTCCTGCCGAGTGTGACCACCAGAGGGAGCAGCTGGACCTGAACCGGCCCCACTGACAGCGCCCAACGCGCCCTCCAGGAGCCAGGGGAGGGGGCTGGCAGAGAGTGGCCAGGACGGGATGTCCCCAGCCCCCAGTGGCCTCTCCTCCCACCCAGCCCCGGTCTGCAGAGCCATCCGGTCCCCACCCTGGTGACATCCTCCTCCTGCTCCCTCAATAGGGTCCAGTAGGGAATCTGGGGAGGGGGCTGGCGGGAGTGGCGGGGCGGCTCCAGCCCTTGATGGCCCCTCCCCCTCCTGTGGGGCTGTCCAGTCCCTTCCCCAAGGCCAACCTTCCCATGGCCTCTGACCCCCTCCTCCTCCCCACCCTACTCTGCCGGGCGCACCGGGTGTCCAGCGAACCCCATTCCTAAACCTTCAGGGAGCAGGGACGTGGGAGGAGGCAAAAAAACTACAGGCAGGGAGCTGGAAGGGGGGTGGGGGGGGCAGGAGACAAGAAATCAAGACACCCAGCAGCAGGACACACACACATACACACACTCACACACTCACACACACTCACACCCAGAGGCCAACAGACAGCCACCTAAAGCCTGAAAGACTGACAGCAACACAGAAAAAGACAGAACGAGAGACAAAGACAGAAATAGAAACAAACGAACACGCAGAGTCAGAAACTAGCGACAGAAAGCCAGGGAGAAAGAGAAAATTAGACACTAAGGAGATACGAACAGGGAGAGAGGCCAACCGAAAGAAAGACGGAGAAGAGGAGAGAGAAGCCCGGGCCCAGCGTGCCAGGAGGCGGATGGAGGGCGGCCTGGTGGAGGAGGAGACATAGTGGCCTGGTGGAGGAGGAGACATAGTGGCCAGGGCTGAGCTGGGTGGGCTGGGAGAAGCGAGTACCTCAGCGAGGGGGTGGGGGCATGGGAGGGGCAGGCATTCTGCTGCTGCTGCTGCTGGCTGGGGCGGGGGCGGTGGTGGCCTGGAGACCCCCAAAGGGAAAGTGTCCCCTGCGCTGCTCCTGCTCCAAAGATAGTGCCCTGTGTGAGGGCTCCCCGGATCTGCCTGTCAGCTTCTCTCCGACCCTGCTGTCACTGTGAGTCCGGCCCTCTGCATGCCTGAAAGTGGGGATGGAAGTCCTGGGACCCCAGAGGTTGGGATGCAGTGCCAAGTCCCCAGGGAAACAGGGACCCATCAAGATCTGGGGAGATGGGCAGCACAGGCTGTTGGGATGCCT